TGTGGGAGATAAGGTAAGACCACCCTGACAGAGATTATAAAACTAACCAGCAACCATTGTCTCTATCCATATAATGTATGCTCCATGAAGGCAAGAGCTTTGTTTTGTTTACTCCCACATCCCTAGAGCCTGAACAATGCCTGACACATGGCAGGTGTTCCATACGGTTAAATGAATCAATTCACCTATATATCAGCTGCAAGTAGCATTCTGCAAAGAGCAAAGACTCATTCTTGATGATTCTCAAAGTGAAAGAAAAACTGCTACTTTGGCCTTAATTCTGGGATCCCCATTTCCTTCCAGTTTGCCAGGGAGTTTTCAGAATTAAGGATCTTGCGAGGCAGCTAAGTGGAGAAGGCTACTCCAAGAAGAGGGAAGGTTTAGAAGCAGCAAATGCCATAGCATATTTTGAGAAATAAGGGCAACGCTGACATCAGTGTGTCTAGATCACACTGTGTGTGTGTGCTGGGCAAAAGGGAAAGAATGATAGTTCAGGTTCCAAAGGAAGGCTGAGAGGGCAGTTTAAAAAGAGACTGGTAAAGACTTCTAAAGTGTTCAGACTATATCTCACTGAGGTTAAAGATAAGAAAGAGCACTGTCAGCTTTGTGCTTCTGGCAGCAGTATGGAGGATGACTGAAAAGGGATTAGTCACACAGTGGTGTGCTGGAGCTGGCTCATATTGGCTCCTGAGAGCCAACGGTTCAATTTTCAGGAATTGTGTGAGCTAGGGGACATCACATGTAGGCATCTTAAAAATTGACCATGATGAGAGTATTTATAACATAGAAATTGGCATACACTACAAAATCAGGGCTTTTCCTATTTTACCAGAAAGCTGGTTTACCAGTACACTCATGTAATAGACCTGCAGAGGCCACCAGTAAGGTGCTGTTAACAGCCCAAGGGACATGATGAAGGCCTAAGACAATAGCCCTAAAAAAAAAAAAGTGACTAATTTGACAAATATTCAGGCAGTATAATGTGTAGGACTTAGAGACAAGCTGAAAATGGGTGATTAGGTAGAGCAAGAAGTAAAAGGATGATTCTTGACTAACTGACATAGAGAATTCAGCTTTGCATTAAGCTCAACCACTAGGCATCTTTGCATAAAGATAAAAACGAACATATTGCTGTCTCCAAGGAACTCATAGTCTACATGGGAAACAAGCACACATCTAATTAACCACATACAATTGATGGTAACAGAAGGTTAGAGGAAAGGGGTAAAAAAAAAATGAAGTAATCTCACTTTTTCACATATAGCACCTGAACTATTTGTTCATATGTAATTTTTGGTATGTAAAACTAATCATGCCTTTTCACTATCAAGATAGAAATGTCCAGTAGACAGTAATCCTATAGCTCAGAAGGGAGGTAAGGACCATCTATGCATGTATTTGTGTGCATCTATATTAATTTTGAAACCATGAAAAAAAAAAGCAGATGATTTAGGAATAAATTTTGGAATGCACAAAAAAGAGGGAAATGGAGAAGACTGAGTTCAGAAGCCAGGCAAACACCAAAAATTTGGAAGGAGATGGAGAAAAATGAAAGCAATCAAGGAGACTAAGGAGCGTTCAGAGAGAAAGAAAAACAAGAAAGAATAGCAAGGGACGGTTTGGAGAAAGTGGTAAATAGTGTCAAAGATCTTACAAAGATCAAAACAGTGAAGGCTGAAAACTGGCCACTGGACTTGGCATTTGAGGACTGACTGTCCATCAGAAGAAAAGTCATATAATGCTTCTCTTTTATAGTTGTCTCATTCCTATAGGAGGTACATCAGGAACAACTCACAAATTATTCCAACTACACATCTGCTCACCAACCCTATCAATCCTATCCTCTACCACTGGCAGATCCTGTACATAGTGAATCACTGTTACGGACAGAAATGTTTAATTTTTAGGAATGTTACAGAGAATGGGTGGTGTGAACCACTGAATTAGGGGCAAACTGGAGAAGACTAGCAATTAAAGGAACTTGGAAAAGAGCATTTAGAGAATTAGGAATTTTCTTTTTTTTAAGCATAGAACTCACAAGTCACATGAGGGGAAGTATTTCCAGAAAAGAGTCAAATCCTTTTTACAAGTTCAAGTAAGATAAGGACCAAAAAGTATCCATTTGATTTATTCACAAGGAGGTCATTAGAGACCTTGGCAAAGAGATTTCAATGGCATTGAATGAGGGTGACTGGGTCCTTGAGGAGACAGGAAAAAAATCCAGAGCACAGGAGGAAGACCGTCCTTAGAAGCAGAGATTCTACTTCTAGTGTAATGGAAAATACAAGGGAAAAAGACCAGTTACAGGTATAGGTTTAGTTCATAGGTTCGATGGGGCAAGAAATGGAGGAAGCTCACATCTGATGGGTTATCTTTTTTTCAGGGAAGTTTAAAGTCATTTGTTGAGTTTGAAAGGGGAGGTCTGAAAGAGTAAGGATTTAAATAATCACTGTGGAAGATGGAAAAGAGAGCTAAATAGGAAAATACAGAAGTCAGAAATAAGGACTATTCACCCTTCAAAAACTGGTTACAATTCCAGAATGCATCCTACTGAAATATATACCTATGCCTGACATGTACTGTTTCTTCCACTTCTTCATCTAGGGAAGTTCTATTTACACTTCAGAACCAATTCCATCCAGAAAGACTTTCCTGACACTCCCCTAATCACACCCAGTTGTCAGCCTCCTCTGTATTGTTTGACTTTGTACACAATGCTGCTACCCAGCAACACTATATTATAATGCTTACCTTCACAGCTTTACAAGATTATTTCCCCTTACTAAAATGGCAAGTTGCTTGAGGGTGGGAATTGCACACATATCAGGAGTTCAAAACTTGGTTAAATGGAATTTAAATTAAGATACAGAGATGCATTGGACAGAGATCCTAACCTAGAAAATCTAACACAATCTAGTTCAGAAAACCACCTCATCAGAAAGTTTTGACAAAAGTATATACATTATCAGGAGAAGGTAAGGAATTAAGGGCAATAATACACAACACTCAGAGAAAAACAATAATCTAGAATTTTGTTATTTTGTTTATAACCTACTTTGGTCTACAAATGTGTGCATATGCTTACTGTGATGTTCATTAAAAAATTTTTATTCTGCACCCACCATATGAAAGGTACCGTTATTAACTGTGGAATATAAAAAGGGGTTCTACAATGCAGCAGAAAAAGTTAGGTACACAAATTATTTCAATACCAGGTAGAACGTGATGGCAATTAGGGAGGAAAATTAAGAACAGATGAGAAGAAATTTGAACTTTATTCTGAAGGATAAGAGATTTGCGGCGTGTTAACTGAATTAATAGAATTTAATGTACTTCTCAAAATGTACAATGTTTAACTTATTTCCTAGAGTTTTCCTCTGTCCAAAACTATCAATAAACTCCTATATTCAATGCATGGTTGTGGATAAACGCCTTGTAAAAAACAAACTAGGCTGTGAGTGGGCCACCTGTGTAATCCAAGAATTTGTTAATAGAGGGATGCTTCCAATTCCACTTAAAAATGATAACATTAAGAGCTGTCATCTATCTGTTCTAGGTCTTTCACTTTTCATGGGAGACAACGCTTCCTCCTTTCATCAAAAATTGCGGCAGCAGCCAGTGGCTGTCAACCTAGGTCACCGGAGTGCGGCAGTCCCAGGACTTCAGAGAAACCTCAGGCGCAGGAAGGGTAGAGTTGAAATGAGTAGCAACCAGATGGGGCGCCTGGGTGGCTCAGTCGTTAAGCGTCTGCCTTCGGCTCAGGTCGTGGTCCGGGACCCTGGGATCGGGCCCCGCATCGGGCTCCCTGCTCCGCAGGGAGGCCTGCTTCTCCCTCTCCTACTCCCCCTGCTTGTGTTCCCTCTCTCGCTGTGTCTCTCTCTGTCAAATAAATAAATAAAATCTTTAAAAGAAAAAAAAAAGAGAGAGAAATGAGTAGCAACCAGAAATCAGGTGTCCCCTGGACACCCGGAAGGGAAGGGGGCTGCTAGGCTCTGGAGAAACAGGTTGGCTGGGCTGGGGGGAGTGGTCACGTCGAGACCGGAAAACTTTCTGCAAAGCGACGGGTTGAGTCCGCCACCCGGGTCCAGGTGCGGAGCAGGACAGTCCCCCCAGGCCCACCACCCAGGCAGACCCAGACTCCTTACCGTCCTGCAGAAGCTCCCGGACTGCCGCTGTCGCCGCCCCAGAACCCAGAGCCCCTTGTCCAGCTACAGCGACGCCGCCGTCACCACCTTCCATGTTGGCAGGTGCCGGGGTGATGGCGTCAGCGGTCGGTTCGCCCCTCCCAGGTGGTGACGCACAATGCCGGCGCCGCCCGCTCCGCCCAGCCCGCAGCTCCCGGCCGGCCCGGGCAATCAGCTAAGCGGCCGCAGCTGGACGAATCCCGGCTGAGAGCCGCGTGTCTCCCGGAGCTGGCGGGCGCCCAGGGCCCGGCGCGCGGGGGAAGCCGAGGTCGCGGCGTTGGCGCCCTGCGCAGTCTCCTGTCGCGCCCCTGGGGCTGACGTCGTTCCCCCGGCTGAAGAGAAGGTGGGCGCGGGAGCCTGGCCGTAGCGCTTATCTCTGTGCAAGTATTTAACCTGAGAACAGGGGCCTCTCGGTGGAGGCTGGACAGGAAAGCGGAGGTTTCTGGGATCCTCGCTTGCACTCCACAAACACAGCTGGGGGACGTTAGTAACTCCCCAGCCTTATGTGTCACAGGCCTTGGCTAACAGTCCCGGGGTAAAGGCTGGCGGGGAAAGCTTGGGAAGGAAGTTGCCGGAATGAACACTAAGGGCAGAGTTAGGGAGAGCCGAAGGTTGGTGAAGAAGGAAGACTGAACCCGGAAAAGACAAGTGAATTCAGTCTCTGCCCTCTCTTGACCTTAAGCTTTTTCTGCCTCTTCCTCTCTTTTTCAGCCACGTGCTAGGAGTGATGCCAAACTTTTTCCTATTACAAACTGATGGATTTTCCATATCTCAACTAACAGTATTGAAGCTGTCAGATCAAGTTAGTTCCCGTTATCTCCTCCGCTAATACAAGTGCATCATTCACTTAGATTTCTCCCAAGATGAATACTGATAATTTAACAGGTTAACTACTCTTGTGCAAGAAGGTTAGGCATTCCTACATAAAGAGAATCTGTAATATAACACACCCTGTACACGGAGAACCAGTTTTTCTCGATTCCGGAGCTACACGGTTGTCTCGATTCTGCTAACAGTATGTCAACAAGGTGCTAGAATAGTACTCTGTGCATTTAATACACATAACCACTCAGGTAAGCATGTCTTTTGATACACTGCCTTATGCTTTCTCTTGACTTTGTCTCAGGTTTTTCCCTAGTGTTTTTGGTCTCAATCACGATCTGACTAGAATTGTTCTGAATGAGTCACAGGAATTGTTCAGGACAGCGTGCTCAGACTCACATTAGATTTCATTATAATACACAAAATTTTTAGTAATTCTTTAAGGTTGATGAATAAGTATCATCTTTGAATTACGGGTTCTTTTTTTCTTGGCTTTACACTGGAAGATTGTAGAAAAGTTGCATAATATTCGTTCATTTAGTGAAGAGATTTGAGCCCCAACCATACACATCAGCACCAGTTTACAAATGAGACTCATTTCTGTCTTGTTCAAAGGAGCTCATAAGTAAGGTAGAAACCCATGTAAACAAACAATTGTACCAGGTGCTTTGCAGTTTATGGATTTCTTTATTAAGCTTAACAACACATTGAAATCACCTGGAGAGCTTTAACAAACCACTGATACCTGCATCCTAAGCCCAGAGATTCACATTTAATTGGTCTGGGGTATGGTTTGAGCATCCTGATTCTTAAAAACTTCCCAGATTATTCTAATTTACAACCAAGATTGAAAACTACTGATTTATTCATTAAGCAAATACATATTGAGGGAGGCCTTTGTGCCATGTACTGGAACTACAAGAATGAATAAGAATGAAATTATTCTTGCTCAAGTTACTAACGACCTAGTTGCTATTAGATGCTTTTTAGTCTTTTTCTTACTTAACTTTTCTGTGATGTTTAAGTTGCTTATCCCCTCCCTCCTTGATATTCTCCCCTCTTTTCAGTTTTTGAATATCACTCTTTGGGTTTATTCTTCTCAGCTCCAGAAGTCATCTCTCAGTTTCCTTTGCATTATTCTTTGTCTTTTACTTAAATGTTGGTGCTTCTAAGGATTTCTTGCAAAATATGGCATCCTTAAGTACTTCGTCCATGTGTTTAGTTTCAACTTATTACCTAAAGGCTAAAGACTCTCAGTCTGTATGTCTAGCTTTTTCTCTATAAGCAGTTGTGAGGCATCACCATGTGGAAATCCCAAGAGCACCTCAAGTTCAGTGTGCCCAAATATGAACTCATGTTTCCCTGCTAAAACCGATTCCTCCTCATTTTCTATCTCTTTGATTGGAACTGCCATCCACCTAGCCTCTAAAGCCAAAGTATATACATCATCCTAGAATTCTCTCATACTATAAAACATGCACTGTCCTGAAATGATTTCCACTTCCTAAATATCTTGCCAGTTTACTTTTATTTTTATTTCTAAATAGGTCTTAAGTGTGTTCTTTTTCCTAGCGACCCAGGTCAGATACTCATGCATTGGACTGGTTTACTACAATAGCCTCCTTTGATATTTTGCCAAAAGCCCTACCCCCTTCAGTGAAATGTTTCTAAATCAGAAATCTAATCATGTCATTTTCCTGCTAAAATGTTTTATTTACAAATATACAAGGAGAGACATACAGCCTGTACATAAATCTGCTATGTATGAAAATATGTCATATGCACGTATTAACATGTTGGGTGCATATGAAAAATCACCCACAAAGGTGGAAAAATGGTTAAGAATCAAAGTTCTATAGTATAAAATCTAAAAATTACTAACATGGAATATAAGGTCCATGATTATCTAGGCCTTCTCACTCCTAATCTCAAATAACACGGGACTACTAATGGTTCATTTTTCAGGTTCATTTCATCAAACATTTTCAAGCCTCTTTGGTTTTATATATGTTGCTCCCTGTAACAGGACAGTTCCCCATCTCCCACATGTCAGCTCAAGCTTTCCCTCCTCCACTATTGATGATTTCCCTCATTTCTCTAGACAATTATTTCCACAACAGTTAAATTGTGTGTCAGTCTATGTATTAGAACTACCATTTTGTGTATGTCTAATAGATTTTTAAAGACAGGAGAAATGTATTTCCATCTGTATTCCCAACAAGAACTTAATATTTGTTGAATGATTAAATACATGTCCATACCCTCAAAAGCTCAAGAAGAAATGAACATGTTATTATTATACTCTGTAAAAGTAATTACAAGTGCACATGATAACAGGAGAGCCTAGGGTGTAGTGGGTAAGTTAGATCAACTCTATCTGGGATTCAGAGAAAACTGTCAGAGTCATCAAAATGGGAGATTATGAGTACATAGACTAAGGCAATGAAGATTTGCTCAAGATTTAATTAAAGGTACTAGTTGGTTGACACACTTGTGGGAGATGGAGAAGTGGAAGACAAACCCCAGGTTTCTGACTTGAGTGTGTAGAGGTGGCATAATCATGACACAAAATGCAAGAGAGAAGGAACAGGCTTGACTCGTGAAAAGGAACTACCTTTCTCTTGCTTATGTTTTACCTATGTATGTGGGCTTACATTGTTCTAATCAGAAATTTTTACTTTAAAAAAAGAGGTAAGGGGCGCCTGTGTGGCTCAGTAAGTTAAGCATCCCACTCTTGATTTCAGCTCAGGTCATGAGCTCAGCCCAGCATCTGGCTCTGTGCTCAGCAAGGAGTCTGCCCATCCCTCTCCCTCTGCTCCTCCCCCTGTTCCCTCCCCCTCTCTCTCAAATAAATAAATAAAATCTTTAAAAATAAATAAAAATAAAAAAGAGGTAAAAGACTGAGCATTGGTCAGTAAAACTAGCTTATTTCCACTGTACATTATACCTAAAGAAATTGAAATTATTGGTTTATATTTAGATTATAGTACTTTCTGGATTAGCTAAACAAAAAATTGCATGTTGAGCAATTAGACCTTCCTAAAGTTTGCCCATAACTGTTGCTAAGTTACTAAAGCCAAACACTGGAATACGGGAAACAGCCAACACTATGAAATGACAGGATTTTAGGTATAGCAAATTTAAAAACACAAACTATAATTTAATCACTTGTACCTCTTTGGGTATAAAAGTGATTTACTATGCAATTATATGATTATAATTGAAATTTTTGCTAGATGATACCACATTTAAATTTTTTTAAATAAAAGTGTGTTTGCCTTCTGATTCAGATAAAAAGAATAGAAATTGCAAATAAGAATAAACATGAAATAAGACCAGTAAATCTCTTGAAATGCTAACTACTTAAAGTTGTTCAATTAATGCCATTTAGCTTTCCTGCATAAAACAAAGTATTTCAAAGTGCCAGACATATGCAGTCTTATATATGAAATTACTCAAATCAAAGTTTCTGGTTTATCAATACCAAACAGTAACATGGAAAATTTTAAACATAACATGAAAAACCATGTTATTCTAAGAAAAAAAACTTGTAGTTTTCTTCATCTTGAGCATTTATTAATTTGAGCAGAAATGTTACTTTAGTGAGTTAAATATAGAATTTGAAACTGTTAGTGTTTGACACGAACAAGCGTAATTTGTACCGAATATATAAACGTGATGATTTCACAGTGTACTAAAAACTGTCAGTGACTTATAGAGACAAGATTCTGTAGTATCCTATTTGATACTGTGAAAAGAAGCTAAAAAGATTCGTGAGCCCACAAGCCTGACCCCCCCCCAAAAAAAAAATATATATATATATACATATACACATACACGTTCTTGGCAATTGAAATTGTTAGAATGATGGGAATTCATCTAATGAAAGTAATTTTTCTCTATGCAAACTGTCTTTGTCAGATTTGAAACAAATCTGTATTCATGAAGAGTGACTGCATACGAACCACAATATGTCAAGAAAGAAAAAAAGATCCAATAGAAATGCTTCATTCTGGGCAGCTGGTAAAAGTCTGTGCCCCAATGGTTCGATATTCAAAGTAAGTATTAGTAAATGGTTAATGAGCTAAGATGTGATTTCCTTTTTATGCTCTGACCACCATATGGGATCATCAAACACCTAGCTTTGGGGTCATGATCTAGGCTTGTGTGCTGGTGTTACTGTTTTCCTATCATGTGTCGCCTTGAGTAAACAACCCCTTCAAACTTCACTTTCTATATCTATAAAAAAAGATAGTGTTTGTAACCCCCACCTATAAAGATACAGAGGATATTAAATAAAAGATATTAAGTAAATGTAAACATTCATGCAAAGGTTTTTGTTTGTAAGTCTTCATATGTCTGGGACGAATCCCCGGGACTGCAATTGCTAGGTCATGTGGTAACTATATGTTTAGTTTTTAAGAAACTGCCAAATTTTCCGGAGTGTCTGTAGGGTTTCACACTTCCACCAACAGAGTATGAGGGATCTGTTTTCTCCTCATCCTCACCAACTTTTGATAATACCGTGTTTCTTATTTTAGCCATCTGATAGGTGTGTAGTGATATCTCATTGATTTTAATATCCATTTCCTTTATAGCTAGTGATGTTGAAAATGTTTTTGTGTATTTATTTATCCTGTATATTGTTGAAGAAATGTTTCTTTATGTCTCTTGCCAATATTCTAATTAGATTGCTTTTTTACTATTGAGTTGGTTTTTAAAAATTTTTCAGTTGTGGTAAGATACAACTTAGGCATTTGTCAGTGTACAGTTCAGTGGTGTTAAATGCATTCACATTGTTAAACATCCAATCTCTAAAGCTCTTTGTTTTACAAAACTGAAACTCTACATGTATTAAACAATAGCTCCCCATTCCACTCCCCACCCCACCCCCTGGTAATCATCATTCTACTTTTTCACTCTTTGAACTTGGCTACTGTAGGTGCCTCATATAAGTGGAACTATATAATAGTTGGGTTTTTTTGAGACCGGCTTATTTCACTGAGCATAATATCCTCAAGGTTCACCCATGTCATAGCATGTATCAGAACCTCCTTCTTTTTTAAAGGCTGAATGATATTCCATTTGTATGTATGTACTATATTTTGTTTATTCATTTATGGACACTTGGGTTGCTTCCGTCTTTTGGCTATTGCAAATAATACTGCTATGAACATGGATGTATAAATACGTCTTCCAGTTCTTTTGGATATATGCCCAGAATAAGTGCTGGATCATATGGCAATTCTATTTTTAGTTTTTTGAGGAACCGCCATATTGTTTTCCATTTTTTCATTCCCACCAGCAGTGTACAAGAGTTCCAATTCCTCACCATCCTCACCAATACTTATTGTATTGTTTAATTGCTTTTACTATAGCATCCTTTTTTTTTTTAAAGATTTTATTTATTTATTTGACAGAGAGAGACACAGCGAGAGAGGGAACACAAGCAGGGGGAGTGGGAGAGGGAGAAGCAGACTTCCCACGGAGCAGGGAACCCGATGTGGGGCTCGATCGCAGGACCCTGGGATCATGACCTGAGCCAAAGGCAGACGCTTAACGACCGAGCCACCCAGGCATCCCTTACTATAGCATCCTAATGGATGTAAAGTGATACCTCATTGTGGTTTTGTATGTCCCTAATGATGCTTAGCATCTTTTCATGTGCTTATTGGCCATGGGTATATCTTTGAAGAAATGTCTACTCAAGCCCTTTGCCCATTTTTTAATCAGATTTTTGTTGTTGAGTTTTTCCTTACTACTGATTTTTGAGAGTTCTCTATATATTCTGGATACTATTCCTTTGTCAGATATGTGATTTGCAAATATGTTCTCCCAGAATGTAGCTTATCTTTTCATCCTCTTAACAGAGCAAAAGCTTTTTATTTAATGATAAAATCTAATTTACCAGTTTTTCCTTTTGTAAATTGTGCTTTTGATGTAAAGTGTAAGAGAACTTTGTGTAGCTCTTAGTCCTAAAGTTTTTCCTCTACTTTTTTTTCAAAAAGTCTTGTTTTTTTTGTTTTACATTTAAATCAATTTTGAGTTAATTTTTGTATAAATGTGAGGCTTAGGTTGAAGGGGTATTTTTTGTTTTGTTTTATGTTGCCTGTGGATGTCTAATTACTCCAACACCATTTGTTGAAAGGCTATCTTTCCAGTATTGAATTTCTTTTGCATCTTTGTCAAAAATCATTTGGGCATGTTTATGTGGCTCTTTATCTACATTCCCTGTTCTGATCTTTTTTTTTTTCCCTATTCAGTTCTATTGATCTATGAGTCTATATCCCTGCTAGTACTACACAATCTTGATTACTATAGCTATATAATAAGTTTTAAGTTGGGTAGATTAATTCTTCCCACTTATTTTTCTTTCTCAGTATTGTTTTAGCTATCCTAGTTCCTTTGCCTTTCTCAATAATTTCTTATAAATTATCTTGCTGGAATTTTCAGAAGAATTATATTAAATATGTGTATCAATTTGAGAATTGAATTCCTTTCTATGTTGAGTCTCCCAACTCATGAACATAGTATCTTTCCCATTTATTTAGGTCTTTTATTTTTTTCATCGTTGTGTGTAGTTTTCAGCATATGAAGTGCTATACATGTTTTGTAAGGCACTTGATTATTTCTTTTTTTGTAGCAATTGTAAATGGCTTTATACTATTAACTTCAGTGTCCATGTATTCACTGTTGGTATATAGAAATAAAATTGATTTTTATGTTGATTTTGTATCCTATAAACTTACTGAACTTCCTTATTAGAGGTTTTTTAAAATAAATTCCTTGGGATTATTTATGTAGACAATCATCTCATCTACATATAGGGACAGTTTTATTTTTTCCTTTCCATCATATGCCTTTTATTTCCTTTTCATACACTGAGTAGAAGTTCCAGCACTGTGTTAAATAAGAATGATGAGAACAAGCATCTTTGCCTTGTTCTTTTTTTTTTTTTAATTTTATTTATTCATTTGAGACACAGAGATACAGAGAGAAAGCATGAGCAGGGAGAGAGGCAGAGGGAGAGGGAGAAGCAGGCTCCTCGCTGAGCCAGGAGCCCGATGTGGGGCTCGATCCCAGGACCCTGGGATCATGACCTGAGCGGAAGGCAGACGCTTAACCATCTGAGCCACCCAGGTGCCCCTGCCTTTTTCTTGATCTAGGAGAAATATGTTCCATTTTTCACCTTTAAGTATGTTAGCTGTAGGAGTTTTTTGTGGATGCTTTTTATCAAGTGGAGAAAGTTCCTACCTATTCCTGTTTTCTTGAGGGTTTTTTCTTTTTATCATTAATATTATTTTGTCAAATGCTTTTTCTACATTGATTGATACAATTATGTGATTTTTCTTTTAGCCTTTTAATAAAGTGGACTATATTGATTGATTCTAAATATCAAACCTCCTGTTTTAACTTTTTTTTTCCTGCCATCACTATAGCAGGAAAGGAATGAGAAAGCACTACCTCATCACTCTGAGGTGAAAGTAAAAGTCCAGATTTCCTATTTCATCTTCTTTGACACTCTGGGGACAGGGGGCTCCTCATTACTGCTGAGCTGGGGGTAAGCCATGGAGGGGATGGCCTGGTACCTGCTGGGCTCTATTGAGAGTCCTGACCATTCACTAAGCATCCTCTGATACTACTTAACAGTGGGAAGGGAGAAAGGTTTTTTTTGTTTTTGTTTTTGTTTTTTAATTTTTTTTTATTTTGGGAAGGGGGAAAGTATTAAAGTCCCAGCTCCTACCTGGCTTTCTCTGACACCACTATGAAGAGGTATTAGAGAACTTTGTTTTGGCCCTGGAAAAGTACAAATCTAAGCTCCCCACTCAACCTTTGCTTCTGGAGGTGGGGCCACAGTTTTATCTCTGGTGTTTGGCTGGAATAGAGCCACTATTTAAAATTGTTCTGTCTTGCTAGGCTTCCCCTTTCCTAGTCCTTTGGTGAGAGAGCTGACTTTTGTTGGGGCTCTTTTTGTCTGCACTCATTGGTATTTCTGAGTTCCAGCTTCTTCAGGTCCAAATCTGGGATATTTGAGGCAAAAAAGAAACCCAGGGAACTCACCACTGTTGTTCCTCAGGTCCCAAGGTCACTAGCCTTTCTGTTCTCTTCTCTCCACCTTTCAGAGTTTTCTTATGTTTGTTTTATATATAATATACCGAGCAGTGTTAAAAAACTCAGCTGAGTAAATGTGAAGATCTCACTGGCTTTATTAAGCAATTCATGAATTGCACAGCATCCCACTTAGCAGGTAGAGAGATGCACCATGGAGTTCTATAAAATGGGAGGTTTTTACAGGAAGGAGGGTGGAACAAGTAGTTATTAGCAAAAGAAAAGAAAAGATTGGTTCAGGCCAGGATATCTTTTGGTGGGGATGGGAACAACAGGGATTTTTTTTTTTATCCTGCAGAGTACTATACTATTGCTGTTCAAGAAATTTCAGATTGACTTTTAAAAGGTCACATTCCTGGGATAGGTTGAAACTATAATTAAGTCTTGGTTTGTGGTCTGGAGGGGCAAATGACTCCAATCTGGGCTTGTTTTTTTCTTTTTTTCACAGCCATAATAGGAAAAAGTACATCTACTCTAGCCTCTCAAAGGTAGAACTTTCCTCTAATAAATATTTAATAATTAAATTAAATTTGGAAGTACATATGATTGTGGTGTTTTTTAAATGCCTAATTAAAGTTTTATATGCTTGCAGGTTGGCTTTTAGAACATTAGTAAGAAAATACAGTTGTGATCTGTGCTATACACCAATGATAGTTGCTGCTGATTTTGTCAAATCTATAAAAGCCCGAGACAGTGAATTTACGACAAACCAAGGTATGTGAAACCCAGAGTTTGCTGACTTTGTAAAACCAAAAAAAAAAAAAAAAAAAATCTTGTCTAATCAGAAACAGCACAATTCAGATATTTTATTTTTAAATCTTTTAGTTTTTTTATGTTTTTAGTAAGTTTTTTAAGTATGCTTTTATTCTGTGCCCTGTAAACTATGGATGATATATCTAAGCATGAGGTTAGCCTTCCTTAGGGCCCCATCCTCTCACCTGAGCTATTAGGTTCCTATCTCACTGCCTCCAGTCTTGCCCCATTCCAAACCATCCTACAAATAGCCCAAAGGAACCTTTGTAAAATGTAAATTTGATCACATCTCTTCCCTGCTTAAAATCCTTCTTGGACCTCTCATGGCCTAAAGCAGTGGTCCTCAAGGGCTGAAACCCCAGGCCAGCAGCATCAGCATCATCTGGAAACTTGTTCAAAATGGAAATTTCTCAGCTCTGCTCCAGGCCCACTGAATCAGAAACTTTGGGTATGTGGTCCAGCGGTCTGTTTTAAAAAGCCCTCCAGGTGATTCTGAGTTTGCTAAAGATTGAAAACCAGTGGCCTAATGAGTAAAATTCCAGTACGTGTCAGGGTACTTGGCTGGCTCAGTCAGTAAAGCATGTGACACTTGACTTCAGGGTGGTGAGTTCGAGCCCCAGGTTAGGTGAAGAGATTACTTAAAATAAAATGCCAATACCTGTGAATAATCTATAATGTTCCTCATGATCCAGCCTCTGAATATATCTTATGCAGCTTTATCTTCCATTAGTTTCTCTCCACAGCCCACCAACCTTATTCTTTTTTTTTTTTTAAGATTTATTTATTTATTTTGAGAGAGAAAGTGTATGTGCACATGCTAGTGGGAGAGGGGCAGAGGGAAAGAAGTCTTTCAAGCAGACTCCCCACTGAGCACAGAACCTGTCATGGGGCTCCATCCCACGACCCATGAGATGACCTGAGTGGAAACCAAGAGTCAGAGGCCTAACCAACTGAGCTACCCAGGCACCCTCCACCAACTTTATTCTTTAATAATACTAATTTATTTAAGTTCCTGAAAGTGCCCCATCCTCTCATACTTCTCTACCTAGAATATCCTTTCCTCAGCTATGCCCGTCCCCCAGATCCATCTCTCTCTGGCAAACGACACTGCATGCTTCTTAATCCAGCTCTCAAAGTTTGTGTTCAGGGAGTTTGCCAGATCATCCTCCACTATTATCCTCTCTCACAGGCTTTTTATTGGACTTAATTCTACTGTATTATAATATCCTCTTTGTATGCCTATCTCCCATTCTCTAGACTATGGGCTCCTTGAAGTCTGGAATTATCTTTTATGGATTTGTATCCTTAGCTTCTAGCCCTGTGTTGAAAATATATTAAACTAATAAATGGTTATTAAATTGAAACTCTAACTCTTTGAGTTATAAAGGGAAAAACATCCTATATCCTTGGGGAAAAGCAAATTCTCCTACCCCATGTTAGTCCTATAAATCAGTGGATTGCCATAGAAATTCTGAATAAAAAAATAAAAATAAACAAAAAAGAAATTCTGAATCAGTGAAACTGGGATGATGCTCAGAAATCTGCATTTTGGCAAACACCTAGTGAATCTCATACAGGTAGTCCTCAAAAGAACTTTAGAAAGATTAAAATACATCTATCCAGAGTTTATAACACTAACCCAAAGGAAGATGGGAAAAATATGTCCTTAAAACCTAGGAAGTATCTGACACATTTTCTATATTAAAATGTAAACTTTTATATGTTAGAAAGGAGCACACGTGTACTCAAAGACAAACCAAAACCTGGAAAGAATGTAATATTTACGATAGAGGGGCACCTGGATAGCTCAGTCGGTTAAGCGTCTAACTTGGGCTCAGGTGGTGATCTCAGGGCCCTGGGATGGAGCCCTGTATCAAGGCCCCGTGCCCAGCGGGGAGTCTGCTTGTCCCTCTGCCCCTTCCCCTGCTCGTTCTCTCTCTTTCTCAAATAAAATCTTAAAAATAGATATATATTTATGATAGCAGAACTCATTTCTTTGTTTTATAAATAAAATTTTTAAAAATAATAAGAAAATAAAGAACAATTAAAAGAAGAATTACATGTAGAAAAATAGTCAAAGAATATGGAGAAAAAACCCACAAATAAAAATACACATTGTTGGATATACAATGTAGAATAAGTTGTGAGGAAACAAGAACTGCCGTCCATATTGTTGTGTATCTGTATTGGTAAACTCTTCTGAAAGAAAGCTTTGTGGTGTTTATCAAAATGTTAGATGCCTATCCAGCAGTTACATTCCTGGGAATTTACCCTATGAATATACTCAGAGTAGCATGTGTTTAACAGTATTCTCATCACAGCGTTGTTTGCAAAAGCCACAAATGAAAAACAGTCTAGAAGTACACTCTGTGGTCCATCCATACAGAAGAATACGCTACTAAAAAGAAGAAAATAGGTCTGAGTACAACTCCCAGATATATCAAGGGGGGAAAAAAAGCAGTAGGCATGGAAATATATATAGAATGTTCACATTTGCTTAAATTTTACAGGTATACATAAATTGTTCTGGAATACAATAAACTAATTCTCATCTTTGGAAATGGGATCTGTTTGTCAAGAGTGTTGTAATGTTCATTTTATCAGATTTTATACTGTTTGAATTTGAACTAAATGTAAATTACTTTTAATTTAAAATATTTAAAATTAGTTAAATGCTATGTTGTTTGAACAGATACTTCTTAGGCTGAAAATAGTTATTATCCCATACAAACATGACGAGTTTGGTGTATCGTGTGTGTGTGTGTGTGTGTGTGTGTTTCTGTGAATTTTAATGTTGAGCTATTCGTTTTATCAGGTGATTGCCCATTGATTGTTCAGTTTGCTGCTAATGATGCAAGACTTTTATCTGATGCTGCTCGTATTGTCTGTCCTTATGCGAATGGAATAGACATTAACTGTGGTTGCCCTCAGAGGTAAAGCTTAAAGAAGTTGGAAGAATTTTCAGAAAAATTAGAAAAAAACTATGTGAACATGATAAACTATTTCTCTAGTTTTCCAAGAATTAAAAAAATAAAGAAAATAGAGTTAAAGCACTTGGGCTCCAAATAAGCAAGAAAAAAATAAGGAAAGATTATTTAGGAACAGATATGCAAAGGTATTTTCTGAAGCCTAAAACAAGGTATAGATTAGTGTTTTGTCTTACCACTAGAATTTTTTTGTGTGTGATCTGCCTTGAACCTGACCCATAAGAGCTAGGGAAGACTAGAGCATTTATAGCAGTCCCTAAAGTGAATTTTTACTGCTCTGTCGGACAAGAAACTGTGATTCTATGATTTGAGAAATCACCACTTGTTTTCTCCTAATTAATTTTCTCTATAAGAATACTTTCTTATAATTACCTTTTCTTTCTATACCACAGTTGTTTGGTTGAGTCTGAGTAACTGGGTATTGATAGGATGCTTAATTTGATACTAATATCCCTACCTTCCTAGCACCAGATTATCTGTCAATAATACAGAATTTGTCCAAAGAATAAAATCAAGGTTTTAAGTACATCATAATCCAAACCAGATTAGACATATTTGTATACTCATTAGGAGAGTTAAATAAGCTGTTTAGTGGTGTTGGAATGCTGTAAGCCAAAAATATCTTTCTACTATTAAGATTAATAAAAATCTTGTTATGTACAATAAACATCAAATTTGGAATTCTAAAAATCTGAAGTAATTGAAATTAATTACAAATACCTAAGTCTGTTTTGGTTGAATTAATTTTAATTTAATTTTCTCACTTGCCAATGAAAACCATTTCTCCTAAGTACTTTTTGATCTGGGAACATGTTTTCCTTATCTCCTATCGATCCACTTTAAAATGTTGGATCTGTGAATTATAAAAATCTGATTCCATTCCAGGTCACTAAGATAGAGAAATAGATGTACTTACGGTGCTTTTAAAATTGTATCTCCTCGTCCATCTATTTACAATTCATTTGTTGTGTCTGCTTTATAAAGGTGGGCTATGGCAGAAGGTTATGGAGCTTGCTTAATAAACAAGCCAGAGCTTGTTCGAGATATGGTGAAACAAGTAAGAAATCAAGTGGAAAATCCCACATTTTCAGTATCTATTAAAATAAGGTAAAGACAATATTTTAATCTACTGACAAGATAGTCCATTACTTAGGAAATTTTAAAAAAAATTCCTTTTGTCTAAGAGTGTGAAGGTATCCATCCTTAATAAATTGGTAGCTAGTGTATGGAAATGTAGAAATAAGACGTTTAGTAAATGACTACCATAATTTTTATTTATAAAAATAACAGAACAACTTCATTTTTGTATTTTTTAACAGAAATTAAAACATCCCTTTATTATTAAAAGCTTCCCCTCAAACGAAACCCTCTGTTTTTTTCCATGTACTGCCTAATTAATAATGCTGAGAAGGGCGCCTGGGTGGCTCTCTCGGTTAAGCGTCCAACTCTTGATCTCAGCTCAGGTCTTGATCTTAGAGTCGTGAGTTCAAGTCCTTCGCCAGGCTCCACACTGAGCCTGAAGTCTACTTTAGAAAAATAATAATGATGACGATGCTGAGAAACATTCCTGGTACCAAGAGTAGAAAATAGTAATAATATTTGCACTAAAATTTCACAATGAAAAGAAAATAAACCAGGAATAGGTTTTTGGGTGACAGGTTAAAAATATATTTCATGATAATGTATTATATTTTCCCACTCGGGGATTGGGGCATACACAACAGATAATAGGATACTATCTTTCCATTCCTCCATGATAGTACTTGGATGACTTTTTCAGTTATCAAAGCCAAAAGGGTGAAGCACTAAGTAAGGTAAAATTTGTCATCCTATTGTTGCCAATAGTGAAATAGCTAAATTTGAAGTCTTTTTTTTTTTTTAAAGATTTTTTTTATTTATTCATGAGAGATAGAGAGAGAGAGAGGCAGAGGCAGAGGGAGAAGCAGGCTCCCCGCGGAGCAGGGAGCCCGATGCGGGACTCGATCCCAGGACCCTGGGATCATGACCTGAGCTGAAGGCAGACGCTTAACTGACTGAGCCATCCAGACGTCCCGCTAAATTTGAAGTCTTAAATGGGAACTGATCTCTGAACAAAACCTTTTGATAGTGGCATGTGGTGATAATATAGCAAAGCTAAATGAATAATGTATCAGATGAAATATTTTATTTAGCTTATTAATTTTAGCATTAAGATTTGTATGCTGCAAGTAGACTGATGTAATTTTGAAATTACAGGATCCATGATGACCTTACAAGAACTGTAGATCTTTGTCGAAAGGCTGAGGCAACAGGAGTTTCTTGGATTACAGTCCATGGAAGAACTGCTGAAGAAAGACATCAGCCCGTTCACTATGAGGCCATTAAAATAATTAAGGAAAACATGTCTATACCTGTAATTGCTAACGGAGACATCAGAAACTTAAAAGAAGCAAAAAATGTGTGGCATATTACTGGGACAGATGGTAAGAAATAAGTACTTGAGTTTTTTTGATTTTTAATTAGCAAAAAAAAGTGGGGATAGGAGAGTAATGTTAATGTGATTTTTCATTATTTGTCTTTAAACTGGAGCCATATTTTCCTGTTGTACTGATTTAAGCTAAACAACTTATTAAAATTATGTTAACTCTTTTACTTAGAGGCAGTAGATGTTTTAATTTGGGTAAGTCAGTTACTTTTCTCCCACCATCATATCCAGTTTGAAGGCTATTAGTAAAATAGCCATTTAGTAAAATAGAAATGAGAATTAGTGAACACAGAGTGGTCATAGGAGCCAAAGGAACTACATACTGCTATGCAGTTTTATTACTCCCTTAAATTGTTGGCACACCAAGGCCTGTGATAAGTATGGCTAGATGGGAGAATGCAAATAAACCTAAGCAAACCCAACTTACGACAATCTGGATTAACCCTAAAAAAAAAAAAAGAAAAATCCCTAGAGACTGTTTAATGTAGAAGTCTTAAAAAATTTTTTTTAATTCTTATAAGTACATTGAAACATTATTGGTTTACAGACATATCAAATTGTTTTGTAATTTAGACTAATACGTGGTTATTGTGAAACCTTATAATATTACTTCATTTTTCAATATTCTCAGTTTGTTTCATTAAGTTTGACCTCATAACCATGAGTTCTTAATGTGTGGACAAATGTGATATGCTTTAATTTATAGGTGTGATGGTTGCAAGAGGACTCTTAGCAAACCCGGCCATGTTTGCTGGATATGAGGAAACCCCACTGAAGTGCATCTGGGACTGGGTTGACATTGCTCTTGAACTTGGAACTCCGTATATGTGTTTCCATCAACATTTAATGTACATGATGGAAAAGATAACTTCAAGACAGGAAAAAAGAGTATTTAACGCTTTGTCAAGCACATCAGCCGTCTTAGACTACCTTACAGACCATTATGGGATTTGACTGGACTTCCTAAATTATTTTAATATTTACTTCATTTTATATCTACAGTGAAACCACCCATGGTCACATTTTGGTTTCTCCTTTAAGTCAGTGTCTCTCACACATTAGCATAAAAACAGTGCTCTGAGAACATTTTAAAAAGTTAGTCCTAGACCCCATCCTCAGAGATTCTGATTTAGTAGATCTCTAGGGTGGAAACAAAATTTAGTTTTAAAGAGGACCCCAGGTAGATCAAACATCCTGGTCATCCTACCAAACATTGACAAATACTGCTCTGAATCCTGTTATGGATTTAAAAACAAAAACAAAAAACCTCAGAATTTTTTTCCTAAAGGAATTGTGTTTTTAATATTTTTAAATAAATAAAACTTTTTATTTTAATACTAAAAGTATGAGTCCTATAGTACTTATAAGTTAACATGAAGCATGTTTGAGTGAAAATAAGTGCAAAGTGACAGAATGAATGCCAATTCTATATAAAATGAAAAGGAACAAGAAATCCTCTATAGAATTACTTTCAGGGCTTAGAGTAAAAATTCAAATTGGAAAATCAAACTGGTACTTCCTAATTCATGAAGGACACCTCAAGGCATTTGTTTTAAACTGTATGTAACTGAATTTAATTATGTGTGATGTTTTCAATAATTTAAAACTAAGATGCATGAAACTCTTTAAATGACATTAACTTCATTACATTTCAAGTCTTCTAGATCCTACAAGATTGAGAGCTTGGTAAATACACCTGTACCTAAAATGATAAAATTAGTTTTAGTCCCCCACATTTTATGTATAAAATTTTGATAACCAGTCTGGCAATGATTATATATTTGAAATATTTCTTAGAGAAATTTAATTTTTAATTTAAAAACCTAATTTCCATACCCTGTTTTTAGTGATTTATTTATGATGTTATTTTTATGCCTCCCAGCAGTTGATGATAATTTTAATTTTTTTTTATAATTTTAAAGTTCCATGGTCTGGGAGTGTTACTAAGAGAATTTTGTTGTTGGTGAATGTGCCACTGCAAGAATTAAGTATCTCAGTTAACTATTAAAAGTTACATAGTTAAGATATTAGTCTATACTACCAACATGAAAACTGTATCAGGAGACAGTTATCTAAAACTGCTTAATTCAAGTGTTTGGCAATATTAAATGAATCCATTTTAAACTAAACACTGTGTTGCCATATTTTTTAGGCACATTCTATACTTTCTTTTTTCAATTAACATATTTTTAAAGATAACTGGCTTTTTCACTTGATGTAACATGTAAGAATAGGGAGCTATAGTCAAAATTTGTAATTTTTGTGTTTGTAAATTAACTCTGAAGTGAATTAAACTAGTGTGTGTGCACAACAGCATAGAGTACGGTGCACAGCCTTCCAAAGGAACCAGTGTGGAAGAGCATGGAGTTCTAAACGCGTTTGATTTAAAAAAAAAAAATACCTTCCTTATAGTTAATTTATAGTCTTTTTTCTCTCTTTTCTGTGTGATCAAGTATATTTGTGATAAGAAAAAGCACCCACTTAAATGTATTTTTAGGTTCTATAATTATCTCTTTATTTACATCATTTAATATTCCCAAAATAATTCTGTCCAGGAGGATAATACTGTCATTTGCATTTCTGATACCTTGTCAATATTTTAAAAAAATTAATAGTGTATTCACGCAATTCGAAAATCTGGAAAATATTAACTGAAGGAACGCAGCCACACACATTGTTTTGTCTCCCTCTCAGTCCCCAAACATCTCTCTAGATTGTATGGTCTCTTCCCAGCCTGCAGACAGAGCAGGGAAATGTTTTGAAGCTGCATATTTTTCCACGTTCTCACAAGAACAAAATGCTGCACAACCACCAATCCGGAGTCTTCCATTTAACTCTAGCGCAATTCCGGACAGTAAGACCGTTTCTACCAAAGACAGACGGAACAGGAAAGGACAGGAAAAGAGCGCCTTTCAAACAGGTCCACCGAATTCGCATCACCCTATCGAACCCTCCCGCTGCGGCGCCATTCCTTCTCCGCGGACCCCAAGAAGCTCTTTCGGAAAACGTCGGTTACCCGCGCCCCTCCCACCCAAACCACACTTTATTAGAAATTTACAGTCGGCTCTCTTGAAGAAGTTGACCGGGGAACCCCAAGCGTCACCCTCTAACTCCACCATCAATTAGAAAACCATTATTCTAATAGTCCTCACGCCGTCCGCGACCTCGGCGGGCTCCGACCCCGCGGTTCCGGTTTGGGAGCCGGCGGGGCGGGGGGGGGTGGGGCGCTCTCCTCCGCCCCCCCCACCGCTCCCCTCCCCGCCCCCCCTCGCCCCGCCGCGGCGTCTGACGTCCCGCGCGTCGGCTTGCGCGGAGCAGCGAGGGGAGCCGGGCCGGCCGCAGGCGGGGTAAGGCCGGCGGGGGCCCGGGAGTCGCGGGCCCCGAGGCGGGGAGGAGCGCCAGGCCGCGCGGGGCGGCGGGGTCGCGTCTCTCCCCCCGCGGTTGAACCGCGGCGCGTTCGCGGAGTGGGAGGGCCCCTCGTCGCGGGCGTTAGCGGAAGGTAGCGTTAGGTTGCTGTGGCTGCGAGGTGGCCGGCAAGCACGTCCTCCGCCGCCTCGTCGGTTCCGCAGGGCTCGCCCGGGAGGTGAAGACGCGGGCCTCCCGGCCCACCCTTGACCGTGCCCCACCCCTCCGCCGCGGGTTAAGGCCAGGCGCCTCGGGTTAGAGTAAAGTCGGAGCCCCCCGTCGGTCCCCTGGACTAAAACATTGCGCCCCAGGGCCCTTAACCGAGTTCTTTTCTTTGAAAGGCAGCAAAGTAAACGGTTTCTCTATTTAGGTGCGAAGAGAAAAAATGACACTCCAGTGGGTGGCAGTTGCAACCTTTCTTTATGCTGAAATAGGACTTATTTTAATCTTCTGTCTGCCTTTTATTCCTCCTCAGAGGTAGGAAACCTCCAAATCGTTACAATAAGTATAAGTTACAGTAAGTACAGGAAGGATGATTAGCTACTTTAGACTGTTGAGTGTGATATCGGAAAAGTTTTCTTAAGATTAAAAAGTTTTGAATGCTGATTATATAAAAGGTGCTCTTTAAACTCACAAATATTAGGTACTGTCTAATAATATTAAAATATCACTTTATATAAAACTTTTTATTATATGTACAAACGAATCAGCTGCTTCCCCTCACTTCTAAAAGGAAAAGTACCCAGTCCTTTTGGTTCTGTTGATTACAGATATAATAAAGCCGTGGTTATACTTTTAATGCATGTCGTCACCAAACCTAACCTTGTTTATTGTCCTGAGTTGGAACAATGAACTAAAAAAAGGGAAATGGATAAATGATGTTAACAACATGCATGGGTGCAGAAATGTTTCGTTGGGGCAGTGGAACAACAATGTAGAAAGTTAAGCCAGTAAATGATTCTTGGTGGTGTTCTTATGTAACCCAAAGATAGCTTCATTAATGTTTAAATGGCAATTTTACCACTTTTTTCCATACACAGAAATAATATATACTAAAAGTGCTGAATATGGAAAGTACCACAACCATACATTAGCGCTAATTCCTTAAAGACCTTCAAAGGTCTTTAAGTACAGTACTAAGTATTTAAATTGAAGCCTTGGCTCACTTTACCCTTGTAATAATCCTCATATTGCTCAGTTTGGGGGCTGTGGGGGATGGCTGTTAGTAGAGTGGACACACAGTGTACGATTAGTTTCAGGTGTACAACCTAGTGATTCAACTTCTCTATGGTTATGCCATGCTCACCACAAGTGTATCTGCCATCTGGGGAGTTCAGTTTTAGATCCAGAAAGTTGATAGTATGAATGGTGAAATGCACTTTTAATAAAAATGTTGCAACACCTTTCTTCATGCTCATGACATAAAAGAAAATCTTTCATAAATGAGATCCTAGAGATAAATTCAGTGAGATCCCAATACTGGAAGAGACTTATGAAAATTTTTACTTTGACTCAGCATCCAGGTGATCTTTACATCTCTTAACTTGCTTCTTACCTACCTAGACTGCTACTCACTTCTGTCCTTGTCTATCAGCTATGCCATCACTTCTTCCTTACTAAAGAAAAAAAATTGAATCATACTGTAAGAAGGAACATTAGAGATCATTTTTTTCCAACCCACTCATTCAGTAGTCTAAGTAGTCTAAAGTCATCTAGCTGATCCATGGCAGGCTCCAGACAAGAATCTGGCTTTCAGCCTAGTGCTTTTTCTACTCTACCTGCTCATCCTGTCCATTTGTTTCAAATCTCTATAGTGCCCTGTTAGCTTTTTGGTAGTAGTTGCAACAAGAGAGTCCTTTATTCAAGAAAAGGAAAGATTTTATTTATAAACATCTGATTTATAAATAAGGCTTAAGAATTTGCAAATATATATATATGTATATATATGGTCAGTTAATATTTTCTGCGTGAAAACATTCCATAGATTATGGATCTTTTTCTTCTTGCCAAATATTTTTTCTCTATACTATTCAAGTAGCTCTTTGATATATATGTAAATACACAGATTATATATAGGCTCATGTACAAATATACACAAGAAAATATGGTATATATATATATATATATATATATATATACCATATATATATGAACACAATTCATTTATAGTATGTCCTTACTGTGTGTAGTCACATCTTTTAATATTTTATACATGTATCACCATACCTTCAAAGAAAAGGCTTCAATCTTTATTTAATTTGGCTATTATTTACTCACATAACCCATTGGTTAAAGACACATAGTTACAGGGGCGCCTGGGTGGCTCAGTCGGTTAAGCAGCTGCCTTCAGCTCAGGTCGTGATCCTAGGGTCCTGGGATCGAGCCCTGCATCGGGCTGCATGCTCAGCAGGGAACCTGCTTCTCCCTCTTCCTCTGCCTGCATGTCTGCCTGCTTATGGTCTTTCTCTCTCTCTCTCTCTGTTCAAATAAAAAAATAAAATCTTTAAAAAAAAAAAAAAAGACATGGGCGCCTGGGTGGCTCAGTTGGTTGAGCGACTGCCTTCAGCTCAGGTCATGATCCTGGAGTCCCTGGATCGAGTGCCGCATCAGGCTCCCTGCTCGGCGGGGAGTCTGCTTCTCCCTTTGACCCTCCCCCCTCTCATGTGCTCTCTCTCATTCTCTCTCTCTCAAATAAATAAATAAAATCTTTAAAAAAAAATTTTTTTTAATTAAAATTAAAAAAAAAAAAAGACACATAGTTACAAGTCAGGCTTCCTAGGTGTATGTCCCAACTTTGCATGTTACTGCATGACCTTGGGCAAATTATTTACCATCTCTGGCCAGTTTCGCCATCTGTAAAATAGAGGTAATACTTAGTACCCACCTCATATAGTGATTGTGGTGATTAAATGAGCTAAAATATGTAAAAGTGCTTAGAACCGTAGTATAGTAATGACTCAATATATAACAGCTATTATCATTTCCTCCTTGAATTGAGTATTAGTAGAAACTGCTCGTTGTTCCCTGTAGGAAATCTTTTTTGTGTTCCCTTTTATACTGACCCTTGAAATGCGAATTTGCATTGGGACTTAGATGAAGGTATTGCCACTTATCTTCTCTTTCTAAAAATATAAAATTTTTGTAATGAAAAATTTGATTAGCATCTCTGGAATTGGAAGCATAGAGGCAAAGGGACCTCCTCCATCTATATTAGTCTCCCTCCTCTTACCAACTTCAAGTTATTACTTAGGGTTGTTTTCCAAATTTATTAGTTAATAATTTGTCCTAATCTTAAAGTAAAACTTTTTTTAAAGTTGTATTTGAAGTTTTATTAGGTGCTTATTACTTTTATGTCTCCTTTGGACTCCATGAATCTGTTATTCATTTAAAATGCCTTCGTAAGGGGCGCCTGGGTGGCTCTGTCGTTAAGCATCTGCCTTCGGCTCAGGTCATGATCCCAGGGTCCTGGGATCGAGCCCCGCATCGGGCTCTCTGCTCTGCAGGAAGCCTGCTTCTCTCTCTTCCACTCCCCCTGCTTGTGTTCCCTCTCTCACTGTCTCTCTGTCAAAAAATAAATAAAATCTTAAAAAAAATAAAAATAAATAAAATGCCCTAGTAAAATAAATAAATAAATAAATAATAAAATAAATAAAATAAAATGCCCTTCTACTGGGCCGCCTGGGTGGCTCAGTCAGTTAAGTGTCCGACTCTTGATTTCAGCTCAGGTCAGGATCTCAGGGTCATTAGATTGAGCCCCATGTTGGGCTCCACATCAGGTGTGGAGACTGCTTGAGATTCTTTGTCTCCTTCGCCCTCTTCCCCTTCCCCTGCTCATACACATATGTGTTTACACTCTCTCTCTAAAAAATAAATAAATAAAATGCCCTTGTACAAAGTTTGTTACCTTTCCAATTGTGTGGTGGATTGCTTTGTCATTCTTGGTCATTTATAACCCATACTTTCTTACTTCTGTGTCTTTGCTTGTGCTGCTCAAACTGTCTAGACTATTTTTACCCCATTTTGTTTCCTCTATGTTCACATCCTGATCTAGGTGGTAATTACATGAGTAAATACATACATAAAAATTCATCAACCTATTTAAGATTTTTGTATTTTATGTATGTAACATCTCAATGATACTTTTAATTCCTTTGTGGTAAAAATAGAAAAATTCTTTTACTTGGAGCAGATGTAAAAATATATAGTGCAGAGTTGGACTCCCTATTCCTGAAATGTTGCTGATTATTAGACTAATAGGTCTTTGTTATTTCTGAGTTATTACCCGGATTAGAAAAAGATATAAGGTGATAACTTCTATCAGCAATATAACATGTTACTATAAGAATTCATGTATCTTTACTTTAAAAGTTATTTTTGCTGTAGAATGTTTAAGCCACCAGACAGAAGATAATGTCAGATTATCATTAAACTTGAAAGAGTTGTTCTTTATTTCATGAGCCATTCTTATGTCATATCAGAAGTTTTCTGATATGACATAAAAAATTAAATTTCTGTAATTCTTGTCACTCACTACACAGTTACCAAAATGTTAATTGAATATTTGCAAAGCATTTCAAAATCTTTTGATCTTTTTTACACCTAATGTAATTGTATTGCTTTACAGATGGCAGAAGATTTTTTCATTTACTGTCTGGGGTAAAATTGCAACTTTCTGGAACAAGGCTTTCCTTACTATAATAGTCCTATTGATTGTTCTATTTTTAGGTAAGTACTGGGTTCTTCTTTTGATTCGGCTTAACTCTGGGGACTTTTTTTATTAATGAATTCATTGGGTTTTTAATTAACTAAGTTGATGTTGCTGTTGGGGTACAGTAGGCAGGAGCCATCCTAGGATAGCCACCGTGTATGCCACTGTTCTATGAGAAAATGTTTCCCATGCTCCATACCACCAGCCTCTGAAATGAATTTCTTTTTATAAAACTGGGAACAGCTGGTGTGAGAAGGTATGAGTAGGCGATTGTGGGATGTGATGTGAATGGGTTGTGAATGGGTTCATGCCTCATTTCAAAATGTCAATATTTGTCTCATGGTGTGCTATTGTTATCAAGTAAATCTCCAGCCATGTAAGAAATAACAGTAAAATTGGGCGCCTGGGTGGCTCAGTCAGTTAAGCGACTGCCTTCGGCTCAGGTCATGATCCCAGGGTCCTGGGATCAAGTCCCGCATCCGGCTCCCTGCTCTGCGGGAAGCCTGCTTCTCCCTCTCCCACTCCCCCTGCTTGTGTTCCCTCTCTCGCTGTGTTTCTCTCTGTCAAATAAATAAAATCTTTAAAAAAAAAGAAATAACACTAAACAATTAAAGGACAATAAGAAAAATGTGTCCCAGCTCTATCATCAACTAACTAAATGCCTTTTGGAATGGCATTTCATCTCTCTGAGTTTGGTTTATCCATTTGCAAAACAAAGCAAGAAAAGGCAGTCATTTCTGCAGCTCCTTCTGGCTCTAGTATTGTGATTTTTTTTTTTTTTTAAGTAATCTCTACACCCAACATGGGGCTCAGACTTATGACCCCAAGATGAAGAATCGCAAACTCTACCAACTGAGCCAGCCAGGCACGCCTGTAGTATTATGATCTTTTAACTCTAAAATTATCACAAGAATTTCTACCGAAAACTGCCACATATCCATATAAGGAAGGAAAACGGTAGTACAAGGTTTTTTTGGTTACATATATCAGAAACCAACTGGAGCTCACTTGAGCAAGAAAGGGGAACTTATAATAAAATATAGAGTTGTTGTACAGCAGCTCAGGGAAGGAAGGAAGCCAAATTCCAGGAAGGGACTAGTCTTAGGAACTGAAGTGTCCTTTTCACGTCCCTTCATTGCTCCATGGGTCTACTTCATTCTTCCTTATCCCTGTGGACTCTGTTCTCAACTATATAGCTGTGGGCACCATATAGTTGCCAAGTATCATCACTCCAGCCATATGCCAGGATTAACTAGCCATTTCTGAATCCCAGTTCCAATTATAAAGAAAATAAATGAGCCAGCTAGTACTAAGTATCCAACCTTTGTCTGGTAAGCTATGGCCGGGGATAGGAGTCACAAAGCAGAACCATGACCTCTGGCTGGAACCTGCTTCTGTGGGCAGAGTGGGTAATTAATTCTCAGAGAATAGGGACATCATGGATGGTTAATACAGGACCTTTGACCTTGGATGGTAAAGGCAGGCAGATAGGGACCTATGCTTTAAGTCTCAGTGTTTCCATCTCAGAAGAGGGTAATTACACCTGCTCCACTGAGGTGTTCAAAGGTTTAAATGCAGTAGTGAATGTAAAATACACAGTCCAGTGTTCTTATCCACCAGAATGACAATGGTATAAATTATGGAAAACCAGTAATTACCCAAGTTTCATTTATATTTTACTTTCAAATTTATTTCATTTTTCTCATTGGTTGTTTCTCTAATAAGGTAATTATTACAAGGTGTTCGTGTTCCTGGAGCCAGTACTGACTGAACGTGTGTGCATATGTGTGTTTTAAGGGGTGGGAATAGGCAGAAAGGAAGCAGGAAACCAGGAATATGTTTAGTGTCAGCAGAAATGCATCCCAAGAATTTGAAAGGTTCCACGAGTGATCCCAAAAAAAAGGCTGTCTCCATATGGTTTCTAGAAAACTGACCATACGTCACACCCTGCCCATATGATTGCCCCTGTTTCATTTTTCAGACACAGTTTCCTTGCTTTAATACAGGTGATTTTATTCTGTAGGTGGATTTGTATGGCCATTTACATTTATAAACTTCATTGATATTATTTATTAATCTTCAGCATTTCTGCATAATGGATCCTGGAATATTTTTATTTAAAAGCCAAAGAAGCTGAATAACAAGCATAAGCATCCTTCATATTACTATGTGGCTTCTTTGGCCTGCTTAAAATAACTCATAAATACCATTGTGTTTGGGGTTTTTTTAGTTGTCTCGTGCTGGTTGGTATGCTCTTACTATATTATTGTGGCAATCTGAGAAATATATTATTGTGGCAATCTGAGAAATAGAGGAAATAGCCATTAAGATCAAGAAAATTTTTTTAAGATAATTTAAAACACTGGGGTACCTGGGTGACTCAGTCGGTTGGGCTCCATGCTCAGTGGGGAGTCTGCTTCTCTCTCTGCCCCTCCCCCTCTTTGTGTGCACCTGTGTGCTCTCTCTCAAATAAATAAAATCTTTTTTAAAAAAAGACGATTTCAGGGCACTTGGGTGGCTCAGTCGGTTAAGCGGCTGCCTTCAGCTCAGGTCATGATCCCAGGGTCCTGGAATCAAGCCCCACATCTGGCTCCCTGCCCAGTGGGGAGTCTGCTTTTCCCTCTCCCTCCACATGCTCATGCTCTCTCTCTCTTTCTCTCTTGCTCACTCTCAAATAAATAATAAATAAAATCTTTTTAAAAAATAAAAAATAAAAAAGACTATTTCATATACCTCTCTGCAAATAATTTTGAATACCTAGATGAAATGGATAATTTTGTAGAGAAATATAACTTACCAGATGAATTCTAGTAGATATAGAAAATTTAAGCAGACAAATTTTCTACAGAAGAATTACAGAAAGTTAAAAAAAAAAGCTACCCCCATCAGAAAAGAATAAAACCAGATAGCTCTGCAAGAAATTCTACCACTGCATACTGCTACGTGGTACAACACAGATGAACCTTGAAAACATATGCTAAGTGAAGGAAGGCAGACACAAAAAAAAACACATAGTAAATATTTGCTTTTATATAAAATATCCAGAAGAGGCAAATTCATGGAGACAGAAAGTAGATTGGTGGTTGCTGGGAGATGGGGGAAGGGCAGAATGGATTTGGGGTTTCTGAGGGGGTTGATGAAAATATTCAGAAATTAGTGGTGTTGGTTGCACAACTTTGTGAATATACTCAACACCACTGAATTATATACTTTAAAAGGGATAAATTTTAAGGTATGTGAGTTATAACTCAATAAAGTTGCTATTAAAATTAAATAGGGGCACCTGGGTGGCTCAGTCGTTTAAGTGTCTGCCTTCGGCTCAGATCATGATCTTGGGGTCCTGGGATCGAGCTGTGTCAGGCTTCCTGCTCTGCGGAGAGTCTGCTTCTCCCTCTCCCTCTGCCCCTTCCCCCTGTTCGTGCTCTCTTTCACATGCTCTCTCTCTCAAGTAAATAGATAAAATCTTTAAAAACTTAAAATAGTAGTTTAAGCGGCCTCAGTTTTCTAACTGGAATCTCTTTCCTGTGGCAATAACTCTTTCCTAAGAATGCTGATGGCTACATGAAAGAAGCAGTCTGACTTGTTGGCCCCACTGATCTTTGAGACACCTAAGGGGCAGATACCTTACCTAGGACCTACAAGAATCCAGTGACTTAAGAGTGCACTAAATATAGATAGGAATAAGCTGAAATCTGTTTTCCACTAAAAAGAAATAGATCCCCTGTAGCTTCTGAGACTTAACGGAACTGAACACATCAAAAGTGCAGCTCTCTGAATGTTTCTAGTAGCAGATGCCGTCCATGTGCCCGTTGGGGGAGCACATGCCCCCATAGGTCAAATTCCATTTTAACCTATGCCAGTGGAAATGTCAGTGTAACCAAATATTTCTAAAATCTCAGTAAAGTCACATTACTATTACTAGGATTAATTATTAATAATATTTTAATATATTAATGTTACTTTAATAATATTACTTTAAATAATTTAATTTTACTTTAATACTATAATAATTTGATAATATAGAAGGAATAGTATAATAAAATGCTAGTACAGTCAGGAAAATAGGATAACCTCTTGGACTTGATTGGAATGGGAGATGACCTATATGCTACTGTCAGTAGGTTGGATTTTACTCAATCTATTAGGGATAGAAAGAGTGAAGGATAACAGTTTGCAGTGTAGCTAGAGATGAGAGACAGTACAATTATAATAAGCCCTAGATAAAGAGTAAAAAAAAAAAAATCCTGTTCCATTCAAAGGTTCCCACTAACATCCATTTGCAGAGCATCTCTTTTAAGTATGGTGCCCTCCCAGGGATAGTAGAGGAAAAGACAAAAAGAGAGCCCATACCAAAAGTCCATTATTTAAAAGTCAATTCAGTTGTTCTAAAACTGCTTTCCATTTTAAGAGTAATTGTATATTATTAAAAGTCAAAATAATGTTTTCTCTTTTTCTCTAATAGATGCTGTGAGAGAAGTAAGGAAGTATTCCTCTACACCTGCCATTGAAAAAGGCTTAACCAGCAGACCTGGAGCCTATGAACATGCACAAATGAAACTTTTTAGGTCTCAAAGAAATCTTTACATTTCTGGATTTTCATTATTTTTTTGGCTGTAAGTTTAAAAAAAAACACAATGTTTATGTTTCTCTTCCTCATTTTTCCTATCTATACTATAGAATGCAGATGAAATACCCAAATGATAGTCATGACGGCTTGTAAGTTTGCTAGGTCCATAAGGCCCTGTGTGATCTGGCCTTACTTCTCCCTGGAGCCTTGACTCCTACTATTCTCTGACATTCATACCATGTTCCACCCACACTGAGCTTCATCTGCTCATGCACTCATTCTTGCAACAAATATTGAGTTCCTATTGTGTACCTGACTCCTTCCTACTTCAGGGTCTTCACACATGCTTTAACTTCTGCCAGAACACTCCCCTCTTTCCTGGGCTAACTTTCTATTCATCCTTCAGCCCCTTTCACAGAGAATCCATTTATGATCATCACTCACCCCAGAAGCAGGTGGTTGGTCTCTGTTATATGCTTCCATGGAGCTTATCTATATATGTATATTTTCTGAGTATCATTCATGGTTGCAAGTAAATACTGTTTTAACTCTTTCCTCCCCAACTAGAACCTAAACTCCCTGAAGGACTTTGTCTCATTTCCTGCCGTGTCCGCAGTACCCAGCACAGTGTTTAGCAATTCTGAACACTTGGCAGAGGAAATACCTGTTGAATGAATATTTGAAGATACTAATTTCTATTTCTAACAATGGAAGTTACCCATAAACCGATGTGAATGAGCAGTTTTTAGGCTTGGCCAGCCTCACACAATGCTCTTTAAATAGCAAATATCAAGGTGGGGGGCAGGGAATCAAAGAACAAAAATGACTTCTCTTAGTCGCCCTGCCACACTGTCTGAAATTCTGTTTCTCCTCCTCCTGGCCAAAGGCCTCTAGAAAGAGGATAATTAAATTAACAAGTACTGCTGAACCTGTCTTCCAAATGCTAGTCTTATAACAAAGATTCCAAAGGAACAAGATACAAGCTTGTTTTGACAGAAGGACTTAGATTAGAAAAAAAAAAAAGGAAAGAAACAAACAAGCATATGTCCTTCCTAAACATTATCTCCCTCCACCATACCCATACCTAAAGGGGAATCATTTGACAGTGACTGTTTATCTTAAATCAGTTTCTAATGATTAGTTATACAGTACTTTGATGTTTTTGTTTGTTTAGAGTGTTGAGACGTCTGGTTATCCTTATTACGCAGCTGGCTAAAGAACTGTCAAACAAAGGAGTACTTAAAACTCAAGCAGAAAATACTAATGAGGCTGCCAAAAAATTCATGGAAGAGAATGAAAGACTAAAACGGGTATTTAAATTTGCTTTTTGAAAATGTGTGTAAATGTTCTTGGTTTTCCGGAGGTATATTATTTTTCAGTATCAAAAAGAACATTTTTATAATTTGTAAGCAAAAAGCGACCATAAGTAGCAATATTGTTCTATGAAATGATTGTTTCAAAGTGTCTTATTCTCCCTTAGATTTGTTTGTTCTCAGTTTCCCTCCATAATAGAATGCCAATGAACCTATTTTAATGCTGTTGAACGTATTTCCTATGATTAAAAGAAAAAACAGTGCTGGGAATATGGATTTTAATTCCTTCATTACCATTAATTTTACTTTATAACTAAAGCAAATCTTTATTAAGTCTCTATGTTTCCATTTTCTTTTCAGTTATTTTTTAAAGAATTTTTAAGGCTGATTTTTTTTTTGTTTTTCTTTTAAATGTTCATTAATGTAGGGAGCAGAGGAAAGTAGTTAATGCTAGATTGATGACTGCACATAATGTTTAAAAATCTTTAATTTGGCCATGTTGCTGATACTCCTTTGAGAACCCTATGCTGTAATTCCTCTGCCATTCAGGCAGAGTGTATATTAGGAACTGATGTTTTCCCTATCAAATAAAAGAACAAATGAGAAAATGATAGCTATAAAATTATTTTTTTCTTAAGTATAAAATTTAGGAATAAGATGTCATAGCTTGAGTGTTTGCTGTTCATATTAAGTCCCATAAGTTTTCATAATTCTACTTCTTAGAAGAAAGTGTCAGTGGAACCATTCAGAAGTGAAACAAATTTTCTTAAAAAAAAAAAAAGCACTCCTAAAATAATAAAATAAAATGATTTTCCTATTATAAATTAATGAATTACAAATAGTCAATTATGTATTACCCCGTTACATTTATGTAAAAAGTATTGAGCTTAATAGTGGAGAATTAAAATACTTATCTTAGTCCTAGAGCCTAGCCTCTTATAGAAAGAACTATAAGTACCACCCTTTTTCTAAATGAGTTAGTCAATACATAATACAATAGAAGGTTTTCCAGAACCTATTAAATAAGGCAAACTTCACTGCAAAAAAAAAATTGTGTTTGATGCTATAATATAATGGTCACCTATGCAGAACCCATGTTTTATTTCTAATGATGTCTGCCTTATTTTTCCACTACAGCAAAAAGGTAAAGAAATACCTTTTCTCATATAAAACAGCATTCAAAAATGTTTCTTTGGGGGTATTGTAACCAGCATCTTTTAAAGAAACTTTTAGAGAATAGCATCACTTTATTTTTTACTTTGTTCTGTTTTGAAAAGGCATTGATCCATAGATGTCATGTAAATTTCCCTTTGTAGTAAATATAGTTCTGGGAAATCAAGCTTGTGGTATTTCTGTATTCAAAAGCAGGCAATAAGTCATGTCTGCTTTTTTGGAATGTTTCAGCAGCAAAATGAGCCTCATTTTGTACCTCAGTATTACTTGTTTCATTTCCTATCCTTTGATCTTATTTCAAAATGGTAAAAGTAAAAACAAAACCCTCAAAGCTTTAATATATGATGGCTAAACTCAAAAGCACCCAGCATTGTATTTGTAAACTTACTGCGTACCTATCTTGATTTAAAATTATGCCCATCGTGTTAGAGTAATGAGTTCTAATTACTAACAGAGCACTGCTTTCTTCCTCTTATTTAGTTGTTTTCCTTTTACGCATCAGCTTTAAGAAAATGGAAAGTGTTTTTGTAAAGTTTTGGTACTATTACTTTTTTCATATACACCATAATTAACATAGTTAAATTAGTCTTGTCCTTCAAAAAAAGCACCTTCCTCAAAAAACGTTTTTGAAGTTTTCTTTTAGTATTACTTTCACGAGTTACCCTTGCAAGGAAATTTATTTAATGACTACTGATTCTTTGATTCCTCCACAATTTCTCTTCTTTTTTTTTTTTTTTGGTTTGTTTTCCTCCCCTTTGATTCCATGCTGTCCTGGTTCCCTGCTTCCTGTATTGGAAGGATCCAGTCATTGGCCCCAGATCATCAGAGACACCTAAATATGCTGAGCTAAAGCTAGCACACAGTAAGGAGAAAGTTTGTGAGCTGCACATTAATACTGTCAGTGCCCAAAGTGTAACTAATTAACCAAGAAAAGCCAAAGGTCAGAATATCAAAGATCACTTCTGTTTTGAGATATTTCATGTAGATTTTGAAATATTAGCTAAAGAAAGATAAAACTGCTGAAACAACTCTTTATTCTCTATCAGAGATACCTTATCTAATGGAAAGCACTTTTACTGTGAGATCCAAGAGACTTAGGTGTTAGTCCTAACTCTACCAGTAATTAGCCTTGTGACCTGGGGCAAGTCACCTCACGTGTTCTCAGGTCCAAGGTCATAAATATAGCTAACACTATGCCAGGTACTGCTTCAAATCCTTCACAGTAAGGTATTAGTTCTTAATTCTTGCAACAACCCCATGAGGTTGGTACTATTATTATCTGTATTTTATATATGAGGAAATGGAAGCACAGAAAGGCTAAGTGACTTGCACAAAACCATTCAACTAATTAATAACGACAGAACTAAGATTTGAATCCAAGCAGCCTGGCTCTAGAATCCACACTCTTAACCACATTGTTTTGTGCCCCTTGTATGCTGTCTTCTAAAATGACTTGCAGGGCGCCTGGGTGGCTCAGTTGGTTAAGCGACTGCCTTCGGCTCAGGTCATGATCCTGGAGTCCCGGGATCGAGTCCCGCATCGGGCTCCCTGCTCGGCAGGGAGTCTGCTTCTCCCTCTGACCCTCCTCCCTCTCATGCTGTCTCTCATTCTCTCTCTCTCAAATAAATAAGTAAAATCTTTTAAAAATAAATAAATAAATAAAATAAAATGACTTGCAGATGGTTGGTGCCTGAGACCCCTTTCTGTTCCGATCCTCAGTTAATGAAATAATTATAAAAGACCAATTAACTTTTAATTTAACTGCTTTAAAATAACAACAGTGATGGAGCTTTACTTCTTACCAGTTTTTTTCCCAGCCACTGGCCACAGTGGTATAAGGTGGGTGGGACAGGGAACACATGCATTATTGTAGCTAGTAGCTAGCTATTGAATTTCAGTTCCAGGGCTCTTGGTCGTTCTCCAGCATCAAGTCACACATAATAAAATTGGACAAGTTTGCAGGTGAAAGCTTATTTACAAGACCAACACAAACCCAACTTTTCCAAGTCAATGGCATAATAATTCAAGCAGTCAGTATAAACATTCCTGCAACTCAGTGGTTCTCTTCCAATTTGAGTAATCACCGGAGACTGTGTGAACTGAATTCAGTGAAGTAACAGCTAGGATTATTTTGAACTCAAAGTGGGCAACAAAACAAAGATTTGGAAAAAAATCTTGCTGCTTCCTGCTCTTTAAAAAATTTTTTTTAAATTTTGAAGATAGGAGGCTCCTTCAGCTTAAGTATGTACTTTAGTGTTTGTCTCCTAAAAAACTTGGGGTCATATATTCCTTTAATATATGAGTTTTAATTCCTCCTTTTGAGCTGCCTAAACTCAATTATAACACGATAGTACTGTATTTGATCTTATGCTACAGTTTTTATGCTCTTGTCTCATCCTTTCCACTAGATTAAAGTTACATGAGAGCAGAGACCATGTTAGTCTTACATTTTTATCCCTTATATCACCTAATTGTAAAAATTGTAATCTATTTGCATGTAGCCCATGCTCAGTAGAACTTTGTGAATTTTGTTTATTGGATATACCAGCTTACATTAGAAAAGGAATTACCCTGCAGTAGAAATTCTTTTCTTCCACTTTGTTTAAAATTGGCCTGAGCTGCTTTTTTTTACCTGACTATGGAAACTGTCAATACCAAGTTGCTGCAACTTTTATTTATTCCAATAACCCATGCCAGTGTATACATATTTTTCAGACATTAATCTAATTTGCCTTTCTTGGTAACTTAAATATCTCAAAATTTCTTTAAGATAAGTAAGCTTCTTAATTCTATTAACAATAGTAGTTTCCTTTTAGACATACAAATTGTGAAATTTTTACTCCATGAATATTTTTATTTTAGTAAATATTTTAGTATTCCCATCTTAATTTTTCTTGCCTAGAAAAGATAATCTGCAGGGACACCTGGGTGGCTCAGTCAGTTAAGCGTCTGCCTTTGGCTCAGGTCATGATCCCAGGGTCCTGGCATGGAGACCTGCATTGGGTTCCTTGCTCATTGGGGAGCCTGCTTCTCCCTCTGCCTGCTGTTCCCCTGCTTGTGCTGTCTCTCTCTGACAAATAAATAAAATCTTAAAAAAAAAAAACAGAAAGAAAAGATGATCTACAAACATACAAAAAACATTTTAAAAGCCCTCATAGATTTTAAAATATAAAAAACATTGTAAAAGATTAACTGAATAGGAGTAATTTGGGGACTATTCAATGACTATTCAGAATTAGGTAGAATTTTCCAAGCATAGAGATGGCACTATCATTTTACACTTACCCATCCCCACCCTGGCATTATATTCCTTTTTTACACATTGGTCTGCATAAAAATAGTCTAAGTAGACAGCTCTGTAATTGGAACATAATGGTTTACCAATTAATATCATCCTCGGAACTGTTTTTTTCCTTAGATTTACATCACACACTTAATGGAGGCATTCACATTACTTACCTAAATACTTTTCCAAAACATAATTTTAATTATAGCCCAACCAGAAACTAATTTTCATTTCAGAGATTTCAGCCTTAGTAAGAAGAAATCTTTTTGTTTTTCCAAATACCAAGTTTCTATCAGCAAAAGTACATTGTAGAAAATTACAAAATACTAAAAGGACAAAGAATCAAATAAAGACCCAATAATTTTAAATATGTTATCCAGCCTATTTCCTGAAATAATATGTGGTTGTTGCAGTCTAAGCTTACTTCTTTCCATAACTCTCTTTCCTGATAGCTCTTGAAAAACTATGCCAAGGAAGAGGAACACATTTTGGAAGCAGAAAATAAAAAATTAGTAGAAGACCAGGAAAAACTGAAAACTGAATTAAAGAAGACTTCAGATGGTAACTTCGTGTGCATGTGCGAAAGTAGAAAGTGTAGCATGATATTTTATGTGGTTACATTTCACTGTTTTCCCTAAAACAAAACTAATGGCTCCGTGTTCTTCTGGCTAAAATACCAAGAGTGACCTATTTATAAATTCCTGCTCAAATATGAAGATAAAACATGGTTTTGGCCAAGAGAAACATGCTCTGTTATACAGAAAAACATGTAGGTGTTTCAGATCTGTGTTGTAAATACAGATGTTCCTGTCTTAGCACAAGAGCTATGTTCCTGAAAAGTTGCTTGTAAACACAGTTTTGGAAAATGAATCACATTTTTCCATCATAGTATATTGCTTCTTTGAAAGAAGCAATCGGACAGTTTTGGTTACAGGAAAATATATTGCTTATCTCAAACCCTAATATTTCCTACCTTCCAGATATAAGGAAAGCATTCCCTGAAAAGAGATGGATAGTGTAGAGTAAGCAACAATCTGGGATTGTTGGCAATTTGAATGACTTATTCTAAAATACATTGCAATCAGGACTTGGGAAGGCAGCTATTTCTTCTATGATTTTTTGTTTCTTAATAATTTTGATAGCATTTTCTTCTTCATCAAAGAAAAAATTGTTATTGCCTATAGCCACATAACACAGAAAAGTAGGTACCCCAAGTCCAGTGTCATCCCAGGAAACTCTGAGTAAAAATTTGTGGTTTGACCCCTGGGCAACATCCCTGCATATAACAGATATTCCTTAATGTTGTCCAGACAGTGGCAGACCTCTCAGCCTGCCAGAGTTAAGATAATGATCAATGCATAGACCTTCTCCGATTTCAAATCTCTTCCACTACTTTATGTTGGAGGTAAATTGGAAAATGTTCAGTGACTGAATCAAGGACCTACTTTAGACCATTTGTAAGTTTATATTTTTTTAAATAGACCTCAGCTTACAAGTTTTTTATACCATAACTTGCTTTATTGATTATCTATTTACAATATTTGGATAGAGTTTACTTCATCAAGATGTATTTGAATTTGATATGGAAAGCCCAAAGATAAAAGCTGACTCTCTAAAAACAAAACAAAAATCCATAGGCTATTTCATATGATACAAAATTCTTTAATTGCTTTCCTACTTCTTATTTAAAGTGAAAAAAAAAAGAATAGTTTAGAGACAGTAAGTTAAAAAATAAGTTACTCTTCTAGACGAGATAGGGTATTATGTAGTTGGTGTAGTATAGCCCAAAATTCATTGTTGATACTGTTGCCTCTTCTGTTGTTACAAAAGATTTGGAACATGATCAAGAAGTTTTAACACTTATATGAAAATAAATTTAGTAATCACCCACCCTCTACATTAGACGTTTAAGAAGAGAAGCAGTGTTTTTGTTTTTTTTTTTACCCAACATAAAATATTGCTGCTAATCCTTTTGAAGAATGCAAGGAACTATTTCCAAAATGCCTTTAATTAGTATAAAAAAAATTGTTTCAAAATCTTGCTTTCTTTTTTTTATACCTGCCATGGCATGGATCCCTCTCTTAATGTAAGAAGGCTGGTACAAAAATAAAAGACAACAGGTTGTTTGCCACGCTACACCTATCTTAACTTTAGGCAGTTTAGTTTCTTTTTCCTTTGCCTTTCAAAAATCCCAACTTTAAGATATTTTGAGCTTTGACTTTATAAGGCTGAAATATAACTCTAAACCTAATATTATTTTAGAGTAATAAAAAGAAACTCTATATTTCTTTAACAGACAATTGAGATGTTTGGAGTAGATGAACTCTTTGATAATATAGACATTGTGTTTATAATCTGATAGCAAGAGATACTGGCTTCTGTGTTTAAAGTGTAGACTACAAACCTAATTTCAGAGTGAATCAGTGTTGAGGTAAAAGCAGATTTTACCTGTTTGAGTATGTCCTGTTAGGTTTCTGCAAGATGTGGAATATTTTATGAACACATTGTATGTACCCAAAATTATTATTTCACATAACAGTATTAATGACCTTGAGAAGATCAAAGTTCCATTTCTAAAGGAGGTATATCTTTGGCTATGTTCTCTTGATATATTCCAGTCAAGTTCATTAAGACAAGAACTAAGAAATTACATAAATTAATAGTGCAAGAGATTCAGATGAATTCAGTAGCACAATGCTTTGTACCTATTACCATTCCAAAATTGTCATTGATTTCTCAACATTGAGGATATTAAGGCTGACAGTGCTTAAGAAATGTTTCAGAAAGTTCTTTTATATTTGAAAATTGAGTAGAAAAGCAGTGTGATTTGTCTCTTAATGGAGGCAAATAGAGTATTTCAATATAAATGTTCTTACCCTTGGTGTTTGTTTAATCTAAGCGAAACATTTTCTCCAAAGTATACTAGTGAAGATAAAGCATAAATACAAATGTTTATTTAATCTGGTTAGCCTCAAATTGGAAGAGCGGTGTTCTGAATACAGGTATTAAGAACACTCTATTAGTAGTGCCAGACACTCCATCAGTTTTTAATCACCAGCTCAGATTTGGACCAGAGTTAGTAAATTGTCTGTGCTTCAGTGCAGTAATATGACTCTAGTGATCCAAAAGAGAGCATGCATGTCCCAAAGCACCTAATTTATAGTCAGGACTAACTTAGTCAGGTGTAAGGACCTGATCTGTCATTTTTAATGATCTGTTTAGCAATAACTCTGATACCCCACTATGTGGAGTAATTGGGAAAGGGCACTGCCATGAAAAATGAGAACTTAGCTTTGAAGAATTTACAAAGTTCACATAATAATAATAAAAAAGCTTAGAAGCTTTTGTAATAAAAATAGATCTTGTATGCAGTGGAAAACCTTATGATGTCCAAGGAGCTTGACTTCAAAGGAGTCTCCCAGGATAGCTCCTGGTTTTTATTCTTACAAATAAATACCTTCTTGGCATTTATGCTTATAAATAAGTACCTTCTCAGTATATATTAACTATAGAAAATGTACCATTCAGTCATTGCTTGCATTCACGCAATGGTAAAAGTAGATATAATTTTAAAAGTGAGGGCGCCCGGCTGGCTCAGCTGGAAGAGTATGGGACTCTTGATCTCAGGCTCATGAGTTTGAGCCTGATGTGGAGTGTAGAGATTTCTTAAATAAAACAAAACAAAAATGTTTTTAATAAAAATTTAAAAAAAGAAAGTGATTGAGTTTCAGGGCACCTGGCTGGCTCAGTCAGTAAAGCATGGGACTCTTGATCTCAGGGTCATGAGTTCAAGCCCAACATTCGGCATTGAGCTTACTTAAAAAAAGAAGAAAGTGATTTTCATGTGGAAATGTCTCCTCCTTATTCCCTTATGAGCTGGAATGTATTCATAACATGCTACATCTTAAAAGGAGTTCTCAGAGCTGCCAGTCATACGGTGGAGGTTGAGTAGTAGCCTACTCTTTCTCCTACATAAAGGGAAAAGAAGAAGAAAAGACAAAAAAGTGATTGAGGCAAATTCCTTGATCCTGGTTTATCCTCCCTCCATCCCTCCTTCTTTCCTTCCTTCCTCCTTCGTTCCATCAGCAATTTTTTAAACAACTTTTCAAATAATTTAGTTATTGTAAGATCTTTTAACATGGAGCATAATGAAAATAAGACATAAGCTTTTTATACAGATTTAAAACAGGGATGGGGTGCCTGGGGGTTCAGTTGGTTGAGCGTCCAACTCTTCATCTCCCCGGGGGTCTTGATCTCGGGGTCGTGACTTCAGGCTCCACGCTGAGCTCCACACTGGGCATGGAGCCTACTTAAAAAAAAAAAAAAAGAAAAGTAAATAAATAAAACTGAGGGCTTTCTAATTCCTTACAAATGAATTATTTGAGCCATCTATCTATCTAAAAATACATTCTCAAAGTCTAACATAAGCATGTTTTACAGTTGAGAATTTTTGTGAGAACTATCTTTAATTTGTAGCTATATCAAAGCCATATTTTAAAGTTGTTAATAGTTAAAAAAATGTGTTGGTTTTGGTCATAGTTTTTGCTTTATTTCTTTTTAATGAGCTTTTATAATTTGAATAAGAAATTCAAATTTTTTTCTCCTCTGCTTATATATCTGGAAGTTTCTGCTTCTTTGCCATCTCCTTGCCTTCTTTTAATAACTGAAGAAGAGTCCATATTAAAAAATAATAGTACAGTTTATTTGATGGATGTGACAATAGGTAATATGTAATTAATAGTATACTAATTAAGCAAAAAAAATTGAACCAAACTATTAATAGCAGTTGTCTTTGGCATGTACAAAGAATTTATTATTTTCTGGATTGAAATTATTTTCTGTAATGAATTTCTTTTACATGTACAGTGAAAAGGATAAAAAAAGAAACTCTCTCCCAAATATCCAGGTAATCTAAGGCATTCGTTTTTGGGGCTTGAATTATCTAATTGAGTCTGTTCCCATCTTTACTTTGAGAGTAGATACTACATATTAGAAGTTGTTTAACCATTGCTAAGTGACATGGATCATCTTGCAAAATCTGAAAATATACTGGGTCGTTCTAGTCAAGTCACTGAACCTTTTTTTAGGCCTTAGTTTTCTGTAAAGTGAAGGAATAGGCTAGTTAACCTTTAATGTCTTTGTATCTCCAAATAATATAATTTAGCAAAAGTGACCATCAAGAACTATTTTTACTGTGGCTTTTTGACCCTTAAAATTGCATTTATTTTTCATGAGAGAAAATTTTTCACCGTAAGTTACCTTTCTTCCAAACTGAAGTTCAGCAGGTGGTTAATTAAGCCATATTCCTCACAGGAGAAAAATGTTTCATGTAGGCTTAGAATCATTAGGACAGGGCCTGGCATGTTTTATCTACCTATTAGTTCATAGCTCAAGTGTGTTATATGGAATGGGGCTACAAATCTTAACTCTCTTGGGTGAGACATAACCATTTCTCACTAGGTTATAGTGTGGTTGTTTGTTTAGACACCTATTAGAATACTGATATGGAATAATATAATTGCAGGAGAGGAGAAATGATTTAAGTAAAGAAATCCACATGT